CAGCATCAGCAGTGTCATCTAACTTGCGTTTATTCCCGACTACTAATGTGGATGAACAATCAACGATTCCGGCATCATCTTTACCCCCAACCTTTACTACTGATGTGGATGAGCAATCAGAGGAATCATTTTTATCATCAACCTTTTTTTGTGCATTATTCATTTTTGCGTGATTAAATTTCTTTTTTTCGTCAGCTTTTTGCCTATTCAAATAATATATTCTTTCTTCTTCACCTAAATCATATAAAAAAAAGCCACATTTTGTAAACAATTAAAAAAAATGAAACAATTAAAAATCATAAAACAAACCTTGGAGCACTGTAAAGACAGGCTTGACACCATCAAATTCCATGTTGTCATTTGAAATTGAGGACGCAACATTTGAGGCGATTGGATCTTTAAATTGGATTATTCCGCTTTTAAGTTGTTGTTCTAATTTGACAAATACCACACTACCGTAATCTGCCCCCATTTTAGTCTGTATTTAATTTCAAACGAGAAATTAATATATTTTTAAATAATAACATAAACACAGTTAATATGCCAAAGATGATTAATATTATATCGTAGAGTTTAGTACCAGGTTTAATTTTCATATGAAAAATAAACCTGATTCCAAACTCTAATACATCGTAGAAACAAATTTTATGTTATCACGTGACATATATTTGCATGTATGACATTTAGAGTACCTTAATGTCTTCCCAACGAGCATTAGGTCCAGCTCCCTCAAAATGTAATAAGCAATTCTTTTCATATTTAGGGGTTAATTTTGATCTAGTTTTCTGAATATGCGGTTGCGGTTTTTGTTTGCGCATGGTATCAGGATCCATCCCTTTTTCAACGCATTTCATTTCACAATAATCAAACCTACATAAAAAAATTTGGTTAATAATAAGGGCAAATAAACAAAATAAAGTCTACCATTTAGGAAGAAAAAACCAAATTACTTCATCATTATTATTAATTTTACACTATTAAAAAACAGATCCATCTCTGATATCCTTTTCGCTTCTTCGTGTTCTTCAAATTGTATAAAGTACGATCCCTTAAAGATAATAACCAACAAATTAATTCAAAATATTAATCTGAATGATCTAGCATGGACAAATTACCTTAAATTTTTCATCATTCTTGCGGGGCGTTACTTTAACAACTTTACCGTATTTTTTAAAAAAATCTTCAATAGATTCCTGAGAGGGTGGATTGATCATGTCAAATCCTTTCTGATTAATCAGAATGT